TTTGTTGCAATCCAACAGTTTCTCCCCACCCAAGTTATAAAACTATTTCCTAATCCTCTCTTCCAAGAGATGGAGAATTAAAAATTGTCTGGAGGTCCTGACAAGATCAGTTAGGATTTTTAATATCCTTGTTCTGCTAAATTTCCACTTTCTGGGTGGAGGTGTGAAGAGTGTATATTCTTGTTTAAGTGTATATGGATGTTACAGTTCTACAGACTGTAGCTGTATGATTCCATATGTGCTTACCTTCTCCTGATGTTAATGGAAGCTCGGTGGAAGTGCCCTTGTGGAAGAATGTTTTAGAGAAGGGACGATTCAGCTAGGCAGGGTCTTCCTGTTAACACTTTTATTGCATTTCTAGAAGAAACCTTTCTTGCTGTAAGAAATAATGAGAAAATCAGCTTGCTTGCTGACCTAATCCAAAACCGGTTATAGAGTGTGTACTCACTGGACAGGACCAGAAATACCTCAGCTTTCTAAATTCACAGGACCCATTTGTTTTACTCACACTGTATTTACCACAGCTGCTCTTAAAAGGGAGCATGTCCAGCAGAGCTCAACATCATGCACTGGGTCTGGTCAGTGACATCCGTAGACATGGTGATGGATGGAAACCCCCATCCTTAAAAATTAGTGCCTGTATTAAATGAAATGGACTTAAATTTAATATTCACCAACTGGTGCTTGAAAATTTTCTTTTTGGGCCAGTATCATTTCTCCATGTTAAAGCTGAAAAGACTGGTTAGGATCTGGAGACTGAAAATAAAGGAGACACAGGCTATCAGGGAGTTGTATCATCAGGAATCTGTGAAATGGAACAGGTTTTTGTGAACACTCAATGGTCAATATGAAATAATAGGATGTCAGATGTGGTTTTTAAGAGATGAAAATCTTTAAACTAAGCAGTTAAAAGAATGTGAGCTAGGAGAACACTTACTTCATCACTGTATTGTCAGCAGAAACACTATTTTCTGCAGTCATTTGAAATTACAGGCAATTATAATTAGATACCAGAGAGAACTGCAGGCTGGCTGGCTCAGAGGCAGCACCTCTGTAGTGCTGGGGCTCTGACACCAGGAAAATGCATCACGATGGAGCACTTGAAACTCTCCAAGGAGCAGAGGCAGAAGTGGAGGGGTTCTCCCCCCATGCTGCCGCTGGTACAGACTGTGAGGAGGGAAGGCTTTTCAGGCAGCACAACAGCAACTTCATCTCAGCACACCAGTGTGAGGCTGCTGCTCATCATTCCTGCTTCCTCACAAGCATATGGAGCTCAGCAAGCAGGCTGTGAAGCGCAGTGCTGGTCTTTGATTAACCTGTGCCATGTGCAGACCCTGAGGGACAGACCTTGGTATCAGGACACAACCTGTAACTTTCACTCAGATAAGATTCCATCTGATCTCCTGTGTTTGGCAACCTACATCCACTTCATACTCCACTTCTACTGCTATCATAGTGGGGTAGAGGCCATCAGTGCATAAGGCTTTCATGCACACAACCTGCATCAGACCTGGCTGCTCCCCTGCTCACCCATCAGGACCTGGCACTGGCTTCCCAAAGCTCATCAGCTGAGATCCTGACTCCTGTAATGAACCTTGCTTTGCTTAGCCTTTTAGCCCAGAATAGGGTGGGGTTTGTTGTATGCTGAAGTCTTGTATTGTGGGGAACAGCAACCATTTGGGGAACCATAGCTCTGCTCCTCCGCCCTACAAAGCCAACCAAGCCCTGGTGTATTTGTCCCTCACTTGGTCACGTCACCTGTGTGTACAAAACAATATATAAAACAATATATTCCCTGTGCATTGTTAACTCTTTATCTCCTCTTCACATTCAGAATTTCTTTTCTTTCATTTCTTCTTTGTCTGAATTAATACACTTTTGTTAGTCACTTCTGTTTTCCTTTTCACTTCTTATTCAGTGAACACCTTTTCCTCACAGCTATCACTTTTTTAATTGTAGCTTTTCCTTCTTTCCATACCTTTTCTTTTCTTTTTTTTTTTTTTTGAATGAATATTTATCTTTTAATTAAATCACCAGGAGGCATATTTAGAACCCCCAGGGTTCACTTTGAACTAAGAAAAGGAAAAGACTTACTCTGTGCCATAAACAAAATGTTAATTTGAATGAATTGAAGGAAATGCTCTGCCTGTGATAGACTTGTTCTTGAAATGCTCTGACTATGATAGACTTGTTTCTAAATAATTAATAATTTCAGCCAGAAAACTAAACATTATGACCATGAATTTTGCTTCTGGTCTTACCAGTGTCAGCCTGGAGCAGTTCTGCAGATACAAGCTGAATAGATCTCATGTGATATTGGTTCAGCCAAAAGCAATCTTTGGGCTGAAAGAACCATGGAAAAATTGCATTTTGGTCTGTGTTGTGTCCAAACACTTTATAGTACTTTAAGTGCTCTCCTCCACACCTAGTGCCTCGTTTTTCAGAGGTGTGGTTTCCCTCATGGCTGATAACTGAAACATGGTGATAACTGGAGTGAGGAGCAGGGGAAGCTGGGATTCAGGCACCCATTGGCTGGGGAAGGGGCTGTAGTAGTGGGGGGAAAAGACTGATGGCTACTGAAACCTCATCTGGAACAGGTGGGGAAGTGTCCCTTGGCCAGGAGAAGTCTGTGGGGAGGAAAGGGGTAGTGGCATGTGCCAGTGTCTCTAATGTCCCTTGGCTCCTTAAAGCATTGGCTTAAGATACTCTAGCAGGTGCGTCTCTGGCTTGTGGTCCAGCTTCCCTTCTGCACTCTGAAATGGGAGGAATAATAACTTCTGTTTTATCTTTCTTCTTTCCTTCTGTGAATGTTGAATCCTTGGTATACAGATCTTCATGATTATGATGTGGAAGAGGGGAAAAAAGAGTGCATAATGCTGAGGGAAAAGAAGAAAATGGTCCTTGGAAAAACTGCTTTCTGAAAAGTAAGGACTCTTCCAAGCTCCATTACACCTTAATTCCCCTCTACTCTGCACCTCTTTTGACAATTATTGATGATCTCTTCATTCTTCTCTTATCTGAGTAGCTCTGCAAAAGAGGGACAATCACACAGACCTTCATATTGCCTGCTAGTCCAAAACTGAAGCAAATGACACAAAGCTAAAAATTACATTTGACCATTTCATGTCAGAGTCACACACAGAGGAGGCATAACAATACAGACCTAGAGATAAATGGAGTAATTGCAGAGATACAACAAGTATTCTCTTGCATAATATTCTTATTTAGTATTTCACACAATGCATGATAAATAGCTATTCTCCACTGGAGATCAGTTTATTCAAAGGTTCATTAAATTAGTCACATTAATAGGGGTGGCTCTTAAAGAGACATTTCCAGATTCCTGTTGAATGCATATACTAAAGATGCATGACAGACCATTTCACACACTTTCACAGTCCTTACAAAACCTTCTGCTGACAACTTCCAAGAGGCACTTGGCAAAATGACCCATTTGGTTTAACCCATGATCAAATGCATGGTCTGGCTCACAGTTGTGTATTTCCCATGAAAACATGAATCCTCAGATGTAGCTTGCTGCATAACATCACAAGATTTCTTGGCAGCACAAGACAAAGGAGAAAGAAAAAAAAAATATTCCAAGTAGTTTTTTAATAATTAAAAGGAATGAATTGTTTTGCCTTTAGTCTTTTCCCAAGAGTCTGAGACTTAACATATCTACCAATTCTATTTCCAGTCTATACAGATTCTTATAATGTATTAGTAGCCTGTCCTTTCCAATAACATTTTTCATAAATTCCATGAGGATCAAATCACTCTTGGGCAGTGTCTACCCTCAAGCCATGCTTTCTGGCATAAGGATAGCATTAAAAAAAAACCCCAAAGCAGGAATCCTACAATGCAAATGTGCCAACAAAGTGGTTAGTGTGTTGAAAATGACCATTAGTTTTACATGTAACAAAAGTGGAAAAATGCATGGGTTTAAGAGTGTGTGAGAAAATATCGAGCCAAATTGCTTGTTTCCACTGTAATAGAATTGCAGTGATAAATTTTTAGATTTTCTATGATACAGAGTAATTTCAAGATAAGAAAGTCTTAAATATTATTCAACTCTAATAGAGGAAAAGCTACTTAAACCTATCAGTCTTTACAAGGCACTTATTTTTTCTGTACGTGAGGTGATTCTTAACAGGGATTTGAAGAAATGTTAACAGAGTTTTCTCTCCCTGGAATTAGAAAACTATGGGGTCTGAAAAGAAATACCTGACTTAAAATTTTGATCACAGATTCAGAAATTTATTAGAAAAATAGATTTGTGGAATAGTGTTATTAATATTGAAATCAGTAATACCTCTAAAGAGTCATAATTCCTCTCTGCTAACAAGACTCTTAGAGAGATTTATTTTCTCTCACTGAATAATATGAGTCTCAAATCTAAAGAGTGATTACTTTGGCAGTGAATTTCTAAAGTGTAGCAGTCAGGAAAAAGTACCTGCTTTTATGGAATTGCCCTTTGAAATATAAAGTTCAACCCTGCATTAATGAATCTGTGCACACTTTTGCCGGTGTATGCTACTGGTGTTTTGTAGTGTCTTAGAAAGATCATAAATTATTTATTTGACAGTTTGGGTTTTTTTTAATGCTGCATTCTTCTTTTTAATTAAAAAAAAAATTACGCCATAGAGGAGGTGTCCTTCATTCCGTGCAGAGAGCTGCTGACATGCAGGTCTTCTTATTCATCCAGGAAAAGTAGCTGAAGCCTCTAATAATTGACTTTGAGAACCCAGTGAGGTACCCAACACTGCTGCTAGCTCTCAGGAAGCTCTACAATGTGGTGAAAAATACCCAGGAGCAGAAATCCTACTGAGAAGTTAACCCTCTGGATCCCACCAAAAAATTAACCTCCTGAATGTGCAGCACAGAAGAGCTGGCAAAGGCTTCCATGGAGAAAGAAGTGCCTGTGGAGGTAGGAGTCTTTTCCTGTGAACCTTGTTGATCTGGTTTAGAGATGGGACTTTCCCAACCCCTTGAACCTGACTCTTTCTGCTGTGCAGCTAAATACCTGACCTGGTGCCTAGAATTGCTTTTGATCTGTACCAGTCAGAGACAAACATCTTGCTTCTGTTTGTGTTTCAAAACATGTCTAGAAACAGCTTTTGAATAAATTAACCTGTTTTCCAGTGTACAGCTTTTCCCTGGACTGAAATTTCTAATGATTATTTCCAGATTTTTCTTACTCTCAACTGATTTAGTTTTGGGGGTTTTTTTGCTATTTTTTTTTTTTTTTAGGTGGCTCGAGGCCCTGTCCAACATCTATCTTCTTTCAGTAACTGTCTCCCACATTAATGCTGTAGGACTTTGAAGATTTGTTCCTTAGTTCCCCTTTTAATCCTCACCTCTCTTTCTCCCTCTTTTCTCTCTCCCCCTCTCTTTTTAGTTCACTAGTTTTCTGGTTTATTATCTGTTTCAAAAACCTCAGGCTTCAAATCCCTCTCCCACACCTTCCTTATCCTGTGTCAGAGCATTATAGGTTAGACTGGTCCAGTAACCAATTGAAGCTGTTGCATATTCAGAAAATTAACACTGCTTTACTGTACTTAATTTAGAAGTCCCCAAACCCTTAGCTGAATCTTGACAGCTGGACTTGGTCTGAAATACAGTAAATAAGTTTATTTGTGTGATTGCAGCAAGAGATCCTGTAACATGACAGAAAGGATGTGGGCAGGTATTGTTCGTTCATGCTGGTGTTCCTGAGGTGCCTTTTTGGCTGATGATGTGACAAATTGTCCTGCCTTTATCTTAGTTTCCCAAACCCATTTTCTGTCTTAAATTCAGCTCCACTAATGATCACAACAATTTCAGTGCCAAGCCAGACACAGTTGGCTACTTATTTCAACCACACAGTCATTTAAGTATTGCTCTGAGCTACTCAACATACAGCAGAGGTTCCTCAGATCTGCTCTCATCCATGCAGGTGCAGAAGGCAGCTAACTATTACCATCTGGTCTCTGGAACTACATTTGCAAAGGCAGCCAGAAAACAGACACCTGTTTGGAACAGGATCGCAAAATAAATCATAGCTAAATTATGGTGCAAGAAGGGTATGAGGGAACTGAAAACTGAAAGAGGAAATGGACAGCTCATTCCTTACCTGAAGAGAAAACAAAAAACAAAACCAAAACCAAAAAAACAAGTAGGGTAAGAGGGACAAAGCTGTTGAGGTTGCAAATTACATGTACAGTGAGGAAATGGGAAACCCATTTGTAAATTTAGTTGAAGGAAAGGCAGATGCTGCTGCTGCACTTTCTGTCAGATCCTTTGCCAGTTTATGTTATCTGTCAGGGAAGTGCTGTTTGTTCAACTCTGGCTGAACCATGGGTAAGTCTACACTGGGCTATTAGCTTAGCATAGAGAGCTGTGTCAGGTTTTGCTCCTGATTTTGGGTTCATGCATTCATGGAAGGGTTTGGATTGGAAGGGACCTTAAAGATCATCTAGTTCCAACGCCCCTGCCATGGGGGCTTCCACTAGACCAGGTTATTCAGAGGCCCTTGAACACTTCCAGGGATGGGGTACTCATGACTTCTCTGGGCAACCTGTTCCAGTGCCTCACCACCCTCACAGTAAAGAATTTCTTCCTAATATCTATCTAAACCTGCCTTCTTTGAGTTTAAAGCCCTTTACCCCTTTATCTTAGCACAATATGCATGTGTAAAAAGTCCCTCTTTCCCTTGTTAGAGGCCTTATTTAGGTACTGGAAGGTGGTTACAAATTGTCCCCAGCACCCTCTCTTCCCCAGGCTGAGCAGTCCCAGCTCTCACTCTCAGCCTGTCCTCATGGGAGAGGTGCTCCAGCCCTCAGTTTATCTTCACAGCCCTCCCCTGGACCTGCTCTAACAGGGCTCCCAATCTGCTGCCATTGTCACTTCTGCTCAGTGACTTCTGCCACTTTTTTCCTCTTGCAGGAACAGGTCTCTTACAACTGCCAAGCGTTCTCATAACCCCTGACTGATCATAACTCTGCTGACTTCGAGCAGCACAACAACAAAAATGTGCTTATGCAATTAGAAACCAGATTTGCTTGCATTTTATTTCTGGTGGTTATGTGAAAGTGAATTAAAATTACTTATAATTAAGACTCTACCATCTACATATAATTAGGACCCCTGGCATCTTGATTGTAAGATTTATCAATATTTAAATATTGGTAATATAGTCCTTGTTTATCAGCTTTTATCTGCTCAGATTCCAAACACCACATAAACATTTATTTACTTTTAAATACATTTTCACAACAGCAACTTGGTAAAAGTGGATCATGGGCTTCAGGCAAAGTATTGTCCTAATACTGCCTTAGAAACAATTTCTTCTTTCCTGCCTTGGTGTGGCAGGAGATCATGTTACATCTTTTCAGTCATCATTACTTTTTTGATTTTATAAAATTAAAGAGAAACTGTTTTTTCTCCAAGACATTGTGACATTATGTTCTGTAAAGTGTATAGAGCAGATGTTTTCTTCTATCTGTGTGACCTTATCCTTGCATTTGACTCCTGCTTGTTGACACAGATTTTAATTGCAGATCCTTCTCCCATCAAACAGCGATAAATCTTCAAAGGGATGTAGCTATAGCTCTAAATTACAATGCATGGGTGTGTGTTTAATACCTCAGGTTACCCACTAGCTCAGGATAGTAGATGATTCAGGACAGGAAGTCTCTAACAGAGCAGCAAGGTTATTTTGATCAAGTTTCCTTGTGTGTGCTGTTCCTTTGGTTTGGAAGACACAACATTATGCAGTAATTTAGGCTTGATTTCATAAATAACAGCCTTGGCTTCCAGTTTGATTCAGTCTTCCTTTGCCTCACATTTTCCGGGCATTTCCTGCCAAGCTACATTTTTTCTTCCTTAGCAGATTGCTCTCTGCTATCTCCAGGTTTCTCTTACACCAAGCCCCTTTAGGCACCACATCACATCTTTTGAGCTGTGCTTTCCTGTGAACTGTGGAGGAGCTGAGTGGAAACTGCAGCTCGAGGAACTGGTAATTTGGCAGGACCTTGTTCATGCCATAAATCAAACTGACAATAAATCACTAACTATTATTTGGTATGGCTAGAACTGAAATGAATATTGTATTTGGAAGAGTCCTTTTTTCCTTCTATCCTGAGAAGCCACATGTTTCTATTTCTCTGTCCAAAAATGAGGACCAGCAATATTATTCCTAATATTACATTATTATTATTATATATTATACTAATATTATTATTAGTATAGGAAATTAAAACAACTTTTCATCCATGTTATAAATATTATTTGCTTAAGCTAATGTTTTCATAATTATTTTTTTGTCTCACAACTTACTAGATACCTAGGGGGGTGTTTCAGTTAGTTCATTTCAGTATATTAGTTCTTCAAAAAGAGACAACTTGGAAAAGTGATTGTCTTTCTCATTAACAATGTAAGACTGGCATTTAACTTTTTTGGTTTTTTTGTAAGATTTACTACAAAGCTGCCTGTGGTTGGATGATAACGTATAAAAATTGTGTTTATGGATGTATTACTTCCATATACCTCTAATAATGAGACACTGTAAAACTCACATGCAGAATTTGTTAACTCATAAAATGAATAAAAAATTAAAACTAGACCAAACAAATTGGGCCAAGCTTCTACATCTTGTAGAAAGTAGAAATTAATAATGTTTCCTGGATTAAGAAGCCCTGTTGTGTAAGCAAATGGAGTGAGTCCATCTGTGAGAGCTAGGAAAGGAGGAAAAACACCCAAGGTTCCCATTCAGAACCTGTTTTCAAACCTGCTGGCTTCCTGATACTGTGAGTTAGATCTGGGACTCTGAGCCAGCTGAGGTTGAAACTCGACCCTGGAAAATGAGAAAAAGAAATGCTGTTGAGCTGCAAATCCAGGTTTCCTGCACTGCTGAGATGTCTCTCTGTTATCAGTCTTGGACCTCAGGGAAGCTGCGTATCCAGAGAGCATGTTGTCTAGGTCAGCAGCAGCCTGGATATCCTGGTCAGGAAATGAAGTAATTTCACATATTAAAGCTCTCTGAGAGCCCTGGTAGCCTGCAGTGGCCCATCCTAAGGGATTTCTCAGAATCACCACATTTCAGCAATCAAATAGCACAGTAGATCAGCAGTGACTTCTGGCTTGGCACCAGCTAATACCAAACAGAAAGAGAGTTGTACAGCAAGACTTGGTCCCAAGCTTGGGAAATATTCAAAACCACAATTGGATTGTCACAAGCATGGTGCAGAAATGTGTTGTTTTCATGCTTGGTTCTGTGAATGTTATTTTTGGTAACAGGTATGATAATTTATGGCATTGTGGAACATCAAGTGTGCAGATGCTGCCAAGTGATAAAGTGGCAGTGTTATCAGTTTGTGTTAGCTCAACACGTAGGAATTCAAGGTCTTAACAGCCCTGGTGCAGTGTGTTCAAGTGCTCATTTGTCCCACAAACTCTGCCAAGACACCCCTCTCTCACATCCTTGTGAGAAATGATGATTTGAGTTGCTCAGGTGTTTGGGATATGGAGAAGTGACTATTCAGGTGCTACAAATTGAACATTGCTCCTTGTGCTCAGGAGACAGCTTGAATCTACACACAAAAGCTGTATTGAAAAGAGACAGGAGAATTGTTAGACTTTGCAAGGAAAGACTTACAGGCTGTCTGAAATTAGGTTTTTGGCAACAATTTAATTTCAAATGTCGTCTTTAGTTCTGTTCCAGAAACATACTTGGTAAAGTCAATTCTGTATTTCCAGCCAAGCCCAGTAGAGTCACTGGAGAATTTCTTTAGATTTCTCTTCACTCTGTGAAAAATAAATGAGTCCTGTTTGCAAAGACTGCATATACCTCAAACTCCCTGCTGTAGAATATTAATAAATAACTATTTTCACACAAAAAGCTCTCAGGTAAATTAAGCTTTTGTGAGAAAACCTTCAAGATTTGT